GCTATTTCAGAAGTGGGTGGCCAATCCTTCTTCCTAGTCTGTCTTAATCTGAATGTTCAGATTTAGAGGAGTATCTGACAGACAGCAATTTGTGGGGCAATCTTTAACTGCCATTGTAAATCTGCTAGGATTGATAAAACAATATTGATACATTATTACTAACAAAAGACTGCAGTTCTTTATAAATGTTGACAAATGTATGATGTCTTGTAGGTACCATTGCACTATCATATGAAACGGTTTTACTACCCTTAAGTGTCATACTTCAATACTTCACCTATCTTTTTCACCTTCTCTACAGATCCTCTGGCAACTAATGTCTTATTATCTGTATAATTTTGCCTTTTGCAAAATGTTGGAGTCATATAGAACTAGCAATGACTAGATTCTTTGCAGGGGACAGGACTCAAAGATAGTATTGAAAATGTTGATAATGCAACTTTCTACAGACACGGCTCATGAAGGAAGATTAAACAAAGACCCTTTATAAATAGCCAAGGAAGACCTTTTGCTACTTAAAGTGTCACGCTGCAAGAACAGCAGCGTGCAGGCACTCAACACCCAGAGCTGGCAGCCCGGAGGCGTGGTCTGGAGCCTGAGCCTTATCACAGGCGACCTACCGGACCAGGGAAGAAGGCGGGGCTCCGAGTGGCGGGAGGTTTGAAGAGTCGGGACAATAAGCCGCTGCAGGGGCTGCTGCCGGAGGCTGCGAGGCAGGGTCGGGCTGCCTCCACCCTGGCTGTCGCCGCCGGGGGCGTGTTGGACGCCGTGTGGGGTGCTGAGAGGACCCTAACCCACGACTGTAATCCCATCAGGTGGTAGCCTTGGCCTTAAACACATTTTGGCCTTCCATTGGGGAGCAGTGTGAGTTTCCATTATTGAGTGCTCTTCCGTTGACTAAATAGTGGTGTTCGGAGAGCTTTAGTGAACCGGTAACTAAATTTAAACAATATGATTTAACGCCAAAAAAGTTCAGGCCCACGGCTGTTGCCTTGAACTTTTAAACCAAATTATACCTTGCAGTGCTTTCTATTGATACAAGAGTACCTATTTTTAACTGCCCTTCTGTAGAATATGACCTTTTATTATTTGGTTTAACCTTTAGGCTATTTCGGAAAAGAGGGTAAGAGGATTACTCTGGGCTATAAAGGGGTGGGGCGAGCGTGCGCTCTGCGCATGCTCAGTGCTTCCCCTCCCGCCGGGCTTTCGGTTGGTTTCCGCGTCTCAGCTCCATGCAGTCAGGAGCACTGTCGGAGAGGGGGTTCGAGTCGCGACCCTCTGATGGCGCCCCTGAGACTTCAAGTAAATCCATTCTCAAAGGTAAGACGAGTTCTTACTTTCACAGCACCACGAGTCCCGTGGGACGCCTAAAGGAAGTAGGGAGCGAGCGGTGCCATCGAGGGTCACCGGGGAACCTCCGGCTGTCCCGGGGTGTGTTAGCTGTCTCTGGGCTCTCAGAGCTTGAGCGATCTCAGGCCACAAATCAAGGTTTTTGAGACAGGTCACCGCTGCTCCGTGGGCGGAACTCTCCTTGTGGAGCTAGGTGGAAACAGTTTCCTGTTAACCGTGCAGGACCTGCCCGAGCTCTTTCCTGTTGACACTTGTGATGGATGGAGTGAAACTCCACGGATGGTCCCTTGGGGACTGTCAGTGAAGTGACACCTGGACTCTGCACCCCCAGAGGCCAGAAGGCTTCTCCTGGGTGATCCCCAGCCAAGTCAGATGCAGTTACACCTGTGTTTTTCTCTCTTGTGTTTAATTAACAGATAATTGCCCAGTTGTTTTGATCCTAAATGAGCCTCTGAAAAATGTTACAGATATTGGAGAAAAGATAGGTGCGCTTTTTGATGTGGAGAAAGTGGTGGCTGTTATGTGTCTGAAAACGACTCATAGCTGATCCTTCGGTGGATTTTAAAAGGCTGTATATTTCTGGGAAGAGATTTCTCATCTATCCACCCCAGGGCGGCCAACTAGTGTGTTGACAGCACAACTCTTTACCACTAGGCCTCCATACGGTGGCAGGGTAGAAATGGATCGATTTTGATATGGTTTATTATGTATAAGTGTTGGGCTGTTAACGAACAAATCCCTGACTCCATCCTACAGCCCCTTCATGGAAAAAAGACGTACTGTCTCCTCCAGTTAAGATTTCAGCTCTGGATGTTAGATGGAGGATAGCCTTAATTGCAAAGATTACAAACTACAACCATTTTCTAAGTATCTTTTAAAAGTAAATTTGGAAGGGAGTAGGGAAAGTTCTTAATTTAACTTTATGCAAGAAAAAGGACCTCTGGTGGCATAATGGTAAGGAGTTGTGCTGCCAACCCAAAGGCAAACGGTTCTAATCTACCAACTGGTTTGTGAAAGAAAGATGGTCAGTCTCAGCTTGTGCATTTTACACTTTGAAAACCCACTGGAGGGTCTGCTGTGAATCAGTTTAGACTTGAAAGCATCTAACAACAGCATGCAAGAAAAGTCCATAATGCAATAATTAGAGGTGAGTGTGATATGTTTATTTGGAGTAGGGATTTCTTCAAAACTCTGTTAGTATAGTGGCTTATGTCCTGCACTGCTAAGGTGAGATGTGGAGGATTGGAATCCACCACTGTTGAGTTGTCATGTTTTGGATCACTTGCATATTTACCAGTGACAGGGTCGGCAAATACCTGTAAAATATCAGATTTTGGGGGAAAAGGACAAGTGGGTGACTTGCACAAAACATTTGTTTTCTCACAGAATAGGAGGCTGGAAGTCAGAATTCAGGGTACCAACTCCAGGGGAGAGTTTTTTCCTTTAGCTTCTGGCAATGATTGGTTGGTTCCTTGGAGATCTTTGTGATGTACTCTTATCAGTCTTGCCCTGTTCCTATATTCTTAATGTGGTCCTGTTAAATCTTAAAAGAGGTAAACTGTATATATAGTCTCATCAACAAAAAAGAAAACCTCATTTCCAAATGGGATTGTAATCACAGGTCTAGGATTTACTGTACATTTTGTAGAGACACATTTCAGTTTATCAGAACCAAATGGGAGTTCTTGGATAGTCCATTAAGACAAGGATTCACAAACTCTGACTTCTCCCCCAGCCTCATTCTTGTGGCCTATTTTATAGTGTACACAAATGAAGACTTCTGGCTAAGCACAATTAATAACAGTGCATCTAAATTCCAAAATCAATCTCCATAATAGTCTATGTGTTTCCTACTGCCAAAGGGGCCCTTTAGAGTAGTGAGAGAAGATCTTTACCCTGAAACCCACAGCGTCCCTTTTCAGCAGGAAGTAGCTAAGAGAATACGCCATCCCCTTTTCCTTATGAATCAGGGTGAAGTCTCTCTCAGGGAGGAGTGATAGGGAATGGCAAAGGACACACCGACAAAGGAGATTAATCAGAACTGACTTTGACAAGCACTGTGGCAATTGGACAATTAAAACAGACATTCGGATGGCGGGGAAGAAGAACAAACTGGGGAGGAGGGTAGAGAGAATGGTGCAGCAATGAAGGAATGAAAACCCAAAATCCCTGTAAATGTTCATTAAAACTAATAAAATTAAAAAAAAAAAAACCAAAAAAAAAAAGCAAACAAATGAAGACTTTTGTTGTTGTTAAAAGCTAGTAAACGGTTGGGAGGGGGGAATCAAAAGAAGAATGACAAATGAAAACGTGAATTTCAAATATCACTGTCCATGTATATAGCCCTCACTCTTAACACTATAACAGAAAAATAGAATGATTGTAACAGAGACTGTAATAGTCTATAAATCCTAAAATATTTACTATCTGATGTTTTAGAGATTTTTTTTTTTAACTGCACTAGAAGAGTTAAATCTAGTTCAAGGACTTGGAAAGGACATCAGAATGTTAACAGTATAACCTATGATGTATATGATTGAAGTTATTTTTTTAAAATCTAAAGATTCCTTACTAGATGAGTAATATTTTAAAGAAGCAGTTTTAAATTTTTAACGTAAATAGAATGAGAAAATTTTCAAATCTTTAGGTAAGGAATTCTGGAAGGGGCTGTTTAGATAACTTGCAGCCCTCTTATACCATCCTGATGGTCTTCATCATGCTCAAGTCTATGATTGCACTCCTTGTGTCAATCCCTCTTGTTGAGAGTCTTCGTCTAGTGCAGACTTTCTTTCTCAAGTGTGAAGGACATTTGCTAAGTACTGATGCCTCCTGGCAACCTGCCCAAAGTGTTTGATGAAATTTCCCTATCCTTGCCTCTACATGGCACCCTAGCTATACTTCCTCTAAGACAGTATATTGTTCTGTTGACAGTCCCTGGTATCTTCAGTAACTGCTACTCAAAGGCATCAATTTGTCTTTGGTCTCCCTTATCCATTGTCCACTTTTCATATTTATGTGAAGCAATTGAAATACCATGGGTTGGGTCAGGCACATCTTAGTCTTTAAAGTGATATACTTGCTTGCTAGCACTTTATAAAAATCTTAACAGCACATTTTTCTAGTGTTACATCATGTACTTGATTTCTTGGCAGCTACAACCATTGGTGTCAATTGTGAGTTCAAGTTACGTGACATTCTTGACAACCTCAATCTTTTCTCCATATATCAGGATATTGTCTTTTGGAGGTATAAACATATGTTGTCATTGTTATGTGCCATCAGGTTACTTGCAGCTCATAGTGACCCTGCATACAACAGCTCTGCACCCTGCTCTATCCTGAGCCAACTTTATTGTCTCTTACACACCTATGCCCATTACCCCAGTCACTGAGTCAAACCATCTCATTGAGGGTCTTCCTCTCTCATGCTGTCTCCACCATACCACACATGATGTCCCTCTCCAAGGACTGGTCCCTCCTTGCAACATGCCCGCACTATGTCAGAAGGAGCTTCAGAATCCTTGCCTCCAAGGATTAGCCTGGTTTCACCCTCTTCAGGACAAAAATGTTTGTTCTCCTAGCAGTCTATGGTATATTCAGTACTCTTCTCCAGCACCACAGCTCAAAGACATCAATTCTCCTTCTATCTTCCCTAGTCTGGCTTTCCGATTTATAGCACGCGATTTAGACCATGGCCTGAATCAGATGCATTTTAGTCTGCAGACTGACATCATTGTTCTTCATTACTTTGGAGAGGTCTCTGACAGCAGACTGTCTCAATGCAGTTAATCTTTTGATTTCCTAGCTACTGGTACCAAGAGTGTTGATTGTTGTTGTTGAGCCAGGCAAACTGAAGTTGTTAATAATCACCCTCTCCTGAGAAATTATCCTACTCTGACAGCAGCATGCTGCAAATGGAAGAGAAGCTACTACTTATAAACATGTTGTTTGTTGTTGATGATTGCCATCGAGTCAAGCATGACTCATAACAACCCTACAAAGTACCTGAAGCCTTTCTAAAACTATTGTCGTTTCTCAAAGTTCATAGTTTCCAGAGGCTCATAATTCATGTTAATATTTTTGCTTGTTTTCAGATGTAGTGGCATATATTGAAGTGTGGTCATCAAATGGAACAGAAAATTATTCAAAGGCATTTTCGAACCAGCTTGTGGATATGGGGGCAAAGGTAAGAAATTAATTTTGATAACTTGACCATTCTCAAATATAAAATGAACTGCTTGCATTTTCTTATTTTGAGGCTTTTTATTTAGAACATGAAGGGCAGAGAGGCACTAGTAATTAGTGTTTGAAGGAAAAAATTAACCAAGAAATTAGAAACAGTAGCATTTATAGAACAATTAATATGATTGATGTGATTGAATGATATAGAATGAAAGTTTGGATTCTGATTTGATTACTTGAATATGTGATGTGGTAGTGGTGTTGTTGTTAGGTGCTGCCGAGTCAGGTATGACTCATTAACAAAAGATATAAACACTATTCTGTGTCATCTTCATACTTCCTGACACACAAGAGCCCATTGCAGCAGTCACTGTGTCAGTCCACCTGGTTGAGGGTCTTTCTCTTCTTTGCAGACCCTCCACCTTTCCTAGTATCATGTCCCTCTTCAAGAAATAGCCCCTCTCAGGGAGGGAAATGTGCAATAATGAATGAATGGAAATCCAAGTTCTTTATAAACTTACAATAAAATCTCAATTAAAAAAAAAGAAACAGGCACTTGTAGCAACATGCCCAAAGTATTTTAGACAAAGCCTCATCATTCTTGCCTACAAAGAACACTCCATCTACACCTTCTCCAAGACATACCTGTTTATTCTTTTGTTAATCCATAGGATATTCAGTGCTCTTCTCCAACACCACAGCTCAAAGGCTTCAGTTCTTCTGTCATTGTTATTAATTGTCCAGCTCTCAGATGCATAGCAAGTGATTGGAAAGACTATCGCCTTAATCAGATGCACCTTAATCTTCAGACTAACATCATTGCTCCTCAGTAACTTGGAGAAGTCCCTAACTGCAGATTTTCCCAGTATAGTGCATCTTCTTGATTTCTGACTGCAGATATTAAGGGTGTTATCCAAGTAAGATGAATTTGTTGACTGTTTCAATCTCTTCTCTATCCGTCATGATGTTGCCTATTGGTCCATTGGTAAGAATCTTCGTTTTCTTGATATTGAGATACAACCTACACCAAAGGCTGCATTTCTTGATTTTCTGCAATAGGTGCTTCAAGCCCTCCTCACTTTCAGCAAGAAAGATTGTGTCATCTGTATAATGCAGCTTATTGATGAGTTCCCTTCGAATCCTGATCCTCTTCATAGGGTCCAGCTTCTCAGATAATTTGCTCAGCATACAGATTGAATAGGTATGGAGAGAAAATACAACTCTGACGCACTCCCTTCTCAATTTTAAACCATGCAGTGTTCCCTTTCTTTGTTTACACAGCAGCCTCCTGATTCAGGTTCTACATGAGCACAACTAAGAGCTTTGGAACTTCCATTCTCCTCATCGTCAGCCACAGCTTGTATGATCTGCACCGTCAGATGCCTTTGTATAGTCACTAAAGCACAAATAGACATTCTTCTGGCGTTTTTTTACTTACAGCCAGGATTCAATTGACATCAGCAGTGATATCCCCAGTGCCATGACCTTTTCTGAATCCTGCTTGAACTCATGGCAGTTCCTATCTATGTGCTGTGCTAGCCATTTTTTGGATGATTGTTAGCAGTGTTTTTCTTGCATGTGATATTGATAGCTTGCACATTCAGTTGGATCACCTTTCTTGGGAATTAGAACTGTTAAGAACCTCTTCCCGTCCATTGGCCAGATAGCTATTCAAATTTCCTGGCATAGACTAGTGAGCGCATCCAAGGCTGCATTCATTAATTGAAACATGTCAGTTGGTATCCCATCGATTCCTGGGGTCTTATTTTTTGCCAATGCCTTCAATGCAGCTTCCACTTCCTCCTCCATTACCACAGGCTCTTGTTCATATGGTACTTCCTGAAATTTTTCATTGTCAGTCAGTTCTTTCTGGTAGAGTGATTCTGTGTATTTCTTCCATCTTCCCTTGATGCTTCTGGGTTATTCATTATAGTCCATAGCATCTTTCAGTTGAATATGTGATAGTGCTGATCAAAATTAGGAATACAACAAAGGAATATGTATTCAAGGTTGTTCTTAGTTGTCATCAAGTTGAGTATGACACATAACAACCCTGTGAGCTACAGATCTGAACCCTGGCCTATCTTGTGTCAGTCAGCCTCACAGTCTCTGACAGACCCGTTGCTGTAGTCACTGTGTCAGTCCACCTGGTTGAAGAGTCTTCATCTCTTTTGCTGTCCTCTGCCTTTCCAAACTGGATGTCCTTCTCTGAGGGAAAACCTCTCCTAGCATCATGCCCAAAGTACTGCAAAACAAGGTTTTGCCATCCTTGCCTCCAAGAAGCAAGCAATGCTTTATTTAAGCTATGCTATTTTTAAGGTCTAGGTCATAATTTGTACATGTTTATAATGTCTGATATATATATTTGCTTGTACAAGAACAAGCCACAGCTAGTGATGATAATCTGGGGTCAGAAGTCAGGGATAGATAAAGCCCTGGGTATGGTTCATAGGGGAGTTGTTTAGAATGAAAACAAACACAACTGGAGGTAGAATTCTTTGTATTTAAAGGACAAATGAAAAGGGAAGAGGGAGTTTAGGAATAAAGAGAAATAATGAGAATCTGGATAACAAGTCAAATTTATTCTCTTAAAAATGGACTTTTTAAGCTGTGGAGTTTTTAAGAATAGTAAAATTGGCCAGTGTAATTTGAATTCAACATCTATACATTCTTTGTGGACCACATCTCTCTTCAACTCGTATTTGACTCTTCAGTGGGTTATCAGAGCTGTAAATAACAGAAGATTGCCCATCTTTCTTCCTTGGGGCAACTGGTGGATTCAGACTTCCTTTGAGTTGACAATGCAGCTCCTTACCCACTGTGCTACCAGAGCTATATTTCATATAGCCACTGCCATTTTTAGTAAAATGATAAATGGGAAACCTGGGGATTTAATAGGAACAATTCTTATAGCTATGAACAAGTATGTTAGTGTCTTTATTTTTTGAGAGTTTTGTTGTTGTTAGGTGCCATTCAGTGTGTACCTGTCCTGGCAACCCTGTGTACAACAGAATGAAGCACTACCTTACACATGGCCCATAACAATAAAACATATTAACAAATGAATATCGCTCTTGAATCTATTACACCTGAATTTAAAAACCATCTCAGGAGCAGGGTTGATGATACCTAGTACTTCTATGTACTCAAGAAGTTATTGTTGTTTACTGTGTGAGGAGTTCTGTGACATAATCCATTTGGCTAACCAGTAGGCTGCATCTCTAGCAGTTCAGATATGCCAACTGCTCATCTGGAGAAAAGAGGAGTAGTCTCCTCCAGTTAAGATTTACAGCATCTGAAACCAAAGAGAGAGTTGCTAGGAGGAAGAACCAGCCTCTATTCATGACACAGAATATACTATTATATTGGATTTTCTTGGCTATGATGCTTATTATGGAAGCAGTTCACTGGGTTTTCTACAGAGACACTGCTTGGCTACTTGGCTTCAAATCTCCAAGTCTCTCTTTTTTTTTTTTAATCATCACCAGTGTTGGCTCTGTTTTTTTAATATAGATTTTTTTTATAAGCAAATATATATCAGGCATTACAAACAGCCCTGTTTTTATTTTCTGTGTGCATTTTCTAAAATTTTTTCCCGTTATTGCACATTTTCTTTCCTCTGATGTCCCCTCTTCTCCAGCCATCTTTGCAGTGCACCCCATGTTCCAGATTGTTGTCATACATATAATGCCTAATCATATATTCCTTTAGGACAGTTCTTCATCTCTTCTAAAGTAGTGTTCAGTATCTATCCACTCTTTTCCCATTCTCTCCCCTTGTCCCACTCTCTCTTCTTGTTTTATAATAGCAATGTTATGCAGTATTTGTCCTTTGGTGACTGAGATTTCACTCAGCATAATGTCCTCCAGGTTCCTCCAAGTTGTGTAATGTTTTGTGAGTTCATTATTTTTCAGTGCAGCATAATATTCCATTGTGTGAATGTACCATAGTTTTTGTATCCATTCATTTGTTGATAGACACCTCTAACTTTTAGTTTGTCAGCTGAATCTCAAACTGCTTGCACTTCCCAGACTTTTTATACTTAGAATGCTGTTGTTGTTATTGTTGTTATTAGGTGCCAAGGACTTGATTACAAGTTGGTCTTATAGACAGGGAGCTCTGGTGACCTAGAGGTAAGAAGTTGTGCTGACATCCCAAAGCCATGTGGTTCAAATCTACCAGCTGCTCTGCGGGACAAGGATGAACAATCTCTGAAAACCCATGGGAGGATCAGTAATGGGTCAGTTTCAACTTGAAGGCACACAACAACTAAAGCAATGTAGTCAAATAGAGGAGCAATTGGGGCCCATTGGTTAAGCCCTTTATTACGAATCTAAAGGTTGAAAGTTCACACCCACAGAGACTCCATAGGATGAATGATCCAGTCTTCTGCTTCTCATAAAAATCACAATCTACCTACCCTATGTAATAGTTCCACTCTCTCCTACAAAATCACTGTGAGTCTGAATCAACTTAATAACACTTAACAACACAATAGTAGATGATTAAGATTCTTCTTTGGTTTTTAGGAAAATGTGAGAAAAGACCTCTGAGATAGAAAAACTGAAAATTTCTTTTTTTTTATTTCTTGGAATGAAAATGAGATCATTGATTATTCTGGTGGTGATGTCATTAGATGCCGTCTAGTTGATTACAACTCAGCAATCCTATGAACAGTGATTCTGAACCTTGTCCCTTTCTCGTCTCACTTTTTAATCTCATGGAATATTAGGGAACTTTAGTGGCTGAGTGGTACAGAATTGAGCTACCAACCCAAGGTATGAGGTTTGAATTCACTTGCTGCTCCATGAATAAAATAAGAGCAAAGTGCTGAGCTATTTAGTGCCTCTGAAAACTAATTGAAAGATCAGCTATGGATCAGTTCCGAAGCGACACAACAAAAAGACCACAGATTCACACCCCTTAAAAGATGATAACTGTTATAAAATTAAGGATGTTTCTTTGAACCCTTAATGCTATTATCAGCTTGGTTTAGCAGATAAT